AAAAATTCTTAATACGTTTCTAAATAATCGAGAAAAACAAACTAAAAATTAAGGGTTAATCAAACGTTTTTATTCAGTTTCTATCGGTTCGCAGTCAGCGTATTGAATTTATAATGTATGTGTGTTGTGTATAATATATAATACATATTAATACAGATTATACCTAATACATAATATAAAATAAAAAACAATACAAATGTAGGTACAAATTGTAATTTTTAAAACATTGAAACCTGTCTACAACGGACACCTGTCTAAATCGGACAATTATTTTGGTCCCTATAGTGGTCCGTGTTCGGAGTCTCTTGTGACAAAACTTAGATCAGGATTATACCCTTTATTTCAGCGGCCAAAATGGAAGGTCCCTATTTCTTTAGCATCAAACCCCAGGTAGAGGTTGTTATCAGAAGACCATTCATAGATTTTCTCGCCATTTTCGTCGTTGTCAGAATAACCCCATGATTGATGGTGACTATTAAAATCACCCATGAAGACAGTTGGGTGTACCAAAATTGCAGGAGTGTTTGTTAGCTATCTTACAATTGGTGGTTTGTATGTTCTATATTCTGTATGTTAATTCTAGCAACTTTGGTTGTAATTATTGAGATGTCGTGAGTTACAAGAGTGTTTACGGGTTGCTATTAATAGTTTATCTTACATATGTTGCTGATCCTATGATTGTAGGTCGCATCAGCTAACAAGAAACCTGATATGTGTCCTCTATAGATCGTAATTGTTCTTCGTTTGAGGCATGTGTTTCCTCAATAGTAATATCACATCGATTTTATGTATAGATAGCAGTTTAATAAGGTACTCTGTTTTTGCTCTGCTTATCCCTTCAATATTCAGTTGGAGAATGCGGAGTTAAGGACCTACATTACGAGACCGGTAGTCCTGAAAAGGACTGTTTTCTGGTGACTTCGACCTGTGAGGGTGGGAGTCCATTGTATATCGTGAGGTGGGAAACCACAGGTACAATTGCCAAAAGTTGATAAAGCTTTAGACGTCTAGGACGTTGCCTAGGGTGCACTACGTGGAAGCGCTCTATCTGAGCGGTCTAGGACGTTTTGGCGCCGCTGCCTGTTTGGGCGCTAACTCGGTTTGGTGTTATGCATTTTGGATCTAGCCGTTTTGGCGCCAACTAACCTAATAGATATAGTCAAAGTATAAATACAAAATAAATAGTTTTAAAACATTATTACAAGGTAATRCAGTCAAAATATAAATATATAGTAAAATTTAAACAGTTTGTTAAAATAAATAATTAATTWAAAAAAAAAGCGGGTAAGTCGTGGATGTCGCTCTGCTGTACAGTAGGTTACTGTAATGGATGAGATTAAATTTGAATGCAATGATAGGTATATCATTGTATACG